TGGCTTAGTGGTTTAGAGCACCTCGGGACTGGGAGGAGGTAAGAATCTCCCTGGAAAGGGAAAACAGAATCGATAGTTATGGATGGATTTGGGGGTGTGGGGGGGTGCTGGAACAGTAGGGTCAAGTGGGGAGGTGGAGGGAAGAGGGGGATAAAGAAGGGATATGCGGAGGGACAGCTAAAACTAATGGCCATTTGAGGGATCTTGTGGAAACCCAATATAGTAGGTCCATATATACATGAAAGAAAACTAAATTGGAACCACCAAATGATGGGGCAGCCAAAGGCCCCACTAGACATCTCTCTCCATCAAATGAAACCACCAGTGAGTGCTGGGAATAGGTTACATCTGGTGGAGTTGTTGGCCAAAAGGGCCTCATGGAAACCCCCAACCAACCCAGGCTATTGCCAAGACTGTTGGTTGCCCTCCACAAACTAATGGTAAGGCCTTGATGCTGAAGACAAAATCTATATTACTCACTGACCACAGGGAAACGCAGCTGGTACCTACCTAGAGCCTTCACCCATACTGACTAGTACTTATGGTACTGGAAGGTACTCTGCACGCTATGTGAGGAGAAACATACATGAACCCAGCTAAAAACCCTCTGGTCTACAATGGCGTCCTGCCTGCAAGATATGCTAGTGCAGTGGTGGCACAAGCTTGTGGGCGTCACCAACCAGTACCCGAAAGGAACTAAATCCCACTCTATGAGATGGAAGCCATATTTGACACTGTCTGTGTGGCCAAGAGCCTGAGACTAGATAAGCCATGGACCTAGGGGAAAACCAAACACTGCTGTTCTGTTAAAAACGTAGCAATAAAATGTCTCCTAACGACATTCTGCTATACTCATAGGTCAGTATCTTGCTCAGAGAAGCTTCCTCCTGTGGTAGATGGGAATAAATACAGAGACGCACAACTGGGCAATGTGCAGAGAGTGAGAGACCTTAGAATACTCCGTCCTAAATGGGATGCCTCCATCAAATCCCTCTCCACCAGGGATCGGGGAATTCTACAGAAGAGGAGGTAAAAAGATTGTAAGAGCCGGAGGGTGTGGAAGACACCAAGGAAACAGGCCTTCTAGACACAACAGGTCTGATGCACATATGAACGAACGTAGATTCTGTGGCACAGGACGGTGCCCTCACACAGGTCTAAGCCAGATGAGCTCCCAGTTCTAAGAGGGCAAACAGACACAAGCTCCCTTCCCTAATTCAGAAGTTATCTCCAATTATCCACTCGAAAAGGAAAAACTAGTTTTTTTCCAACAGTCTCACTGGGTACACAAACCACATTGAAGTTCAGGTCCCGGGCCCAGGTGTAGACGGCCAACATGACATGAACTCGAGTATTTTTTTGTTTTGTTTTGTTTTTAAAATTTCACAATGCTTTGTCTGGGCATCTTTTTTTTTTTTAACCTTACAGATTTTTTTGCTTATATATTATGGTTTCCTATTTTATTTTTATGGGTTTTCTGCATGTGCAAATTTTGTTTCTCAGCATATGTATGTGTTTCTTGTACTTTTTCTTTGGCTGTTTTTTTTCTGTTTGTTTTGTCCTGTTCTGGCTATCATCATCATCATCACCACCACCACCACCATCATCATCATCATCATCATCACCACCATCATCATCATCATCATCATCACCACCATCATCATCATCACCACCACCATCATCATCATCATCATCACCACCACCACCATCATCATCATCATCATCATCACCACCACCACCACCACCACCACCACCACCACCACCATCATCATCATCATCATCATCATCATCATCAGTGTGGTTATTAAGATTCCTGTTTGTGCCGGGCGGTGGTGGCGCACTTCTTTAATCCCAGCACTCAGGAGGCAGAGCCAGGGGGATCTCTGTGAGTTCGAGGCCAGCCTGGGCTACAGAGTAAGTTCCAGGAAAGGTGCAAAGCCACACAGAGAAACCCTGTCTTGAAAAACCAAAAAAAAAAAAAAAAAAATTCCTGTTTGTGTTCTAATGAGAGAGAAAGGATATGGATTTGGGTGGGTGGGGAAGTGGGAAGGATCTGGAAGGAAGTTGGGGAGGTGAATTGTAATCCGAATATACTGTATGAAAAAAAGAAGAGAGAGACAGATAGCCAAGCAGTGGTGGCACACTCCTTTAATCCCAGCACTCGGGAGGCAGAGGCAGGCGGATCCCTGTGAATTCAAGGCCAGCCTGGTCTACAGAATGAGTTCCAGGACAGCCAGGGCTACACAGAGAAATCCTGTCTCAAAAACAAACAAACAAAAAAAAAAAAAGGACGAGAGAGAGGTAGAGCACTGGCTGCCTTTCGAGAGGACCCAAGTTCAAGTCCAACACTCACATGGTGACTCACAACTCTCGGTAACACCAGTCCCAGGAGATCCCATGCCCTCTTTGGCCTCCATGGGCACGGCATGTACAGGGTGCATAGGCATACATGCAGACAAAACACCCAAATAAAAAAAATAAAATAAAAATAGGGAACAGGTTCCACATGGAAGTTTAGAACATAAAACAAAATAAATAAACCTTTAAAAAATAATAAAAACTAAAATGAAAAAGCTGTAAAGAATCTGTGGTAGAGACAGAGTCCACATTTTGAACAAGTCACTGGCTATAGCCACTCCAAGCCTTAGACTGTTCTGGTGGAAGATCCACCTCAACTTCCCTCCCCGATCTCTTTCCCCAAACCCGCCCCTTCAAAGCCCCCCAACACAGCTCCTCCCCCAGAAAGGCTCAAGACCACTCCCATGGGTGTATAAGTTGCACCCCAGAAAACAGACACGTGGTTCTTCCAGTGTCTCGTCCTGGTGTCCTCTCTGAGGGGCCAGGAATCACCCCAGAATCACCCGGGAACGCTTGACCCATTAAACCTGAGCTTTTCCAATTCGGTCTGATTCGGTTTAATTTGGATTGCTGCGTTGGCGGAAAGGCCCTCAGGGTGCAAAAACTTATCATAGGCCACATGAGGAACAGCAAGGCTGGAGCCCACTAGCCCCCCTACACACACACACACACACACACACACACATACACATACACGCACGCATGCACCTCTTAGAGCCAGCTAAGGCCCCTTACTACCAACCACTTTCTCTCATGGCTCCCTGATAAAAGGACCCTGGAACTTCCTTGAAAGGTGGAGGGCCGGAATTCAGCAAACAGACTTATTATCACAAGAAACAAACTTCTGTTGGGCATAGAGGCATTCCTTTAATCCCAGCACTTAGGAGGCAGAGGCATGTAGATCTCTGTGAGTTCAAGGCCAGCCTGGCCTACATAGTGAGTTCCAGGACATTCAGAGCCATGAGATCCTGTCTTGGGCGGGGGTGGGGGGGGAGGTGGGGAGCAAGAAGAGAGAGAGAAATTTCTTTGAATCTACTATGGAAGAGAACCTTTTGTGTGAGAGCAGTCACAGAAGGGCACCATATGCAGAGAGCTCTCCAAGCACCAGACAGGGTGGGGCAGGAACCAGACAGATCCATCTGGGATGGAGGCAGGGCAGAGTGTCCCACCAGACCCTGTATTCCATCTGGGATGGAGGCAGGGCAGAGTGTCACACCAGACCCTATGTCACAGCCAAGGACCACGATCAGCTGGCCTGTATTGATGCACATGGTGGACACCCAGTGACTGAGTCTTGTTGTGGGATATTTGTACACTGTGTGAAGATGTATTGCTGTGATTGGTGTAATTTAAAAAAAAAAAAAAGCTGAACAGCCAATAGCTAGGCAGGAGGTATAGGTGGCATTTCCGGGGAGAGGAAACAGGAGGTGCAAGATGGAAGAGAGGTAATGCCACATGACAGAGTGCAGATTAATAATAGAGGCATCAGAGAAGCTAGGGACAGACAAGTTTAGATCTGAGCCTTTGTGGGGCATTGAAATGGCCAATCTCAGGCAGGCCTAGCTCTTGGTTTGACGTCTCATAGCACAGTGGGCGGCTACGTCACTTCTTGCCATAAGCAGGTCTTCCTTCTCCCTGAGATGTGTCCCTTCTGAAAGCCAGGGACACTTGGCCTCCAGGGCCCCACGCTCTGCACTGTGAGGACTCCTCGAGATTCCTGGGGTACCTCTGGACCAATCAGATCCTACATTTGTGGAAACTGGAGCCTTGAGAAAAGGAACGACTTTCCCAAAGCCACACGATTCAGGTAGACTGTCCCAAAGCTGGGCTTGGAAGGACAAGTGAATCCTCTCAGCCTCTTTGTCCTCAAAAGACAGGCTAACAGCTAGGTGTTCAAAAGCTTCATCAGCAGAGAATCCCCATGAGTGACTAGAAATGGACTCATATCATCTCGGTGAGCTACCAGCTCATGGGCCAGTGGGTCCGGCACCCGATTCTGACACTAATCACCTGGGCACCTGCCACATTATGGAACTATTCTTGACTGGGAACAGAGCAGCAAGCAATCTGGGCCCTTATGATCACAGCTCTGCCTCTTCCTGTCATCTGGACAGACTCCCACAAGAACATTAACTCTAAGCCAGGAGGCAGTGGCGCACGCCTTTATCCCAGCACTTGGGAGGCAGAGCCGGCGAATCTGAGTTTGAGGCCAGCCTGGACTATACAGGGACTCTGTCTCAAAATACGAACAAAGAAGAATGCTAACTCTGAGGCCCTTAATGCTCAGTAAAAAGCAAGGCATGATTCCCCCCTCATGGACTGGGCCATCATCATCCAAGAGCCCTCCTCAACACAATCAAAAGTCCCCTGGCAGAGATGGGGTCCAATCTCTGACTGCTTCTAGCTCAGAGGACCCAGGACCAGAGAAAAGGTCTTGGTCAGGCTCTTTTCTCCAGACCAGGCAAGGACAGTGAGGAGGTGGTGCACCCACCTACCCATCCATCCCTTTCTCTAGATCAGACAGAACAGTGAGGAGGTGCACCCACCTACCCACCCATCCTGGAGTCCAGCCTAGGGACTCCATACAGCTGCCCAGACAGGCTCTGGGCTCAGGGGTGACAGGACCAAGGTTGAGCACAGACTCAGTACAGAAATGTTTAATGGTTGAATTGTACACTGGCTCTATGACATATCCAGAAAGGCAACTTTTCATGTTTCAAAAATAGATTTGATAGAAAGACTTACATATTCATAAATAGGTAATGTGAAAATTTCCCCAATGCACATGGCATCCTTGGGCTGGCAATCCTGCCTGTCCAGGCCCTGCGGGGGTGAGTTTGGCTAAGGCCCACCACTGGCAGCATCCTAGGACAGGGGAACCAATTCAATGTGAACCAGGGGCTCCCTGTAGATTGCCCCCAGTTGGGGCCTGTGTCCTTGAAGACAGACTACCACCCAAAAAGACATGGAGCCCCTTCTTGGTACCTTTAGTGGGCCAGACCTTAGTCCTTCACTCTCCTCCTGCTGCAGCCACCCTGGCCCTGCCCAGCCTTTCTGTGGGTACTTCCTGGCCCTCCCCAGCATCCAACCTCCACCTGTTCCTGCTGTTAAGTAACTTTTAAACAAGGGAAGAGATTAAACTCCTGTTGCCCCAGAGGCCCTGGGCTGCTGGCAGCTGGCCAAGCCTGCCCAAGGGAAGGAAAGCAGCTGGTTTTGTTCCTGACACACACTTGCCTGTTTTCTAGTCCTCAAGCCCAGGCTCCTTCTGACAAAGGCCCAGAGGTCCTGAGGTCTCTGGGCACTACAGTGGGACAGGTGCCCTCAGCAGAGGGGCAGAGCCTTAGCACTGCTGTCTGAAGGGATGGCAGCAGCTTCTCTGTAGGAACCAGCTCAGGGCTCAGCCAGGACTCAGGCACCTCCCGGGCCAAAGAATCAGGGGTCAAGGGAAGAACTCGTTCTTGCCAGGATACTGAAGACAAGGCCTGTGACTGAGGTGGGGCCATCTCCCCTCAGAGATGTCCTCTGGGTCACTTGTGGGATTCTGTGCTGTCGATAAGAAGGCAGGTTGGCAGAGAGATTTGGGAGAGGAGGGTCACATTGGCCCCAGACATGACAGTGAGTAGAGAGGTGGCCAGGCTGTGAGGGCCCTGGGCCTGGCCTTCCAGACCTGCACCTGGCAGTGGAACTGGAACCCAGTGAGTGCGAGGGCAGGGTGGTTACCAGGGCAGGGGGTTAGTGTGGGGCTCAAGGAGACTTTGGTGTCTGGGCTAACCTCTTAGAGCAGGGCTGCTCCTGCTCAAGGGCACAGGGCAGGGCCTCAGCCACACCTCAGGGCCTCAGCACCTCGGGACTGAGAAAGGGAAGTGAGGCGATATGACTGTGAATGGAAAAGAAATAATCTTCCTGGTTGCTGGGTGAGCCACAAGGCCACCAGTGAAGAAGGCTCCCTGGGCTAAGCAGGGATTGTTCAGTTCTACCCATTCCATATTAGGCCTTACAGCAGTGGTTCCCAACCTTCCTAATTCTGCAGCTCCTTGCAACTCCTACCCAGGACAGCTACAATGATCCCCACCAGAGAAGCACTCAGAGCTTCAGGCTCTGGTTCACTTAGGCCACCTTCTACCCCACCGTGGCCAGGCTCAGCTAATTCACAGGCTGCCTCCTACCTGAAAGGGGGCCAGTGGGTCCAGCCCTGTTTACATCACAGCTGTCTCCCTAGGCTGCTATGAAGTTGTTGCAAAGCCCTGCTTCTCTCTGGCCCTGTGGCCAGATATGCCTAGGAATAGGGCTGACAGACCAGAATGCTTGAAATGGGAGGCAAGGGTAGGATGCCATCGAGAAGGGAGATGCAGGAAACACCTGACCCATGCTTAGATTAGGCTGAGCCTGACCCAATGGCCGAGGCCGCACTGCTGATGTGGTCTTCCGTATGGGTCTAAAAGCAGTTTATTGTGTGGGCCTGTAGTCTATACTGAGGTGGTGGAAGGGCATAGAACTGGGCAGACTCAAAGGCCAAGGACTACCTTAGAAACATCCCCTGGCTCCATTCCTACACCTGGTTGCTTTTGATCCCTGAGCCCCACCAAAGGACAGCCCTGCCTCCTAAGAACCCCACTTTTCCTTCTGACCCCAGCAGAAAGCACCCGTTAAGGCAGGCAAGGGACCTGTGAGGTGTAAGATGGCCAGGTCTCAGGTCACCAGCACTTGTCTTTTTTGCTTTGAAACTGAAAGCCAGGCCAGGCCAGGCCTATGGGGAGCTAGGAGCTCTGAACTACAGCAGGGAAGGTTTCTCCACCTGAGGCAAGGCTGGCATCCACAGGGCCCTCAACCTCCACCTCTGGGATCCTACCAAAGCCACTGTTTGGTTGTCGTCATTTTTGGTGCTGAGGACTGAACCCAGGGCCTGGTGTGTGCTAAGCATGTGCTCGGCCAGTGAGCTGCCCACCTGCAAGCTGCTTCTTTTTCCTATCTCAACCCTCAACCACACTGAAAGATTAGCTGCTTCGGTAACCTGACTGGCAAAATGTTGGGCCTCAAGCCAGCAGACAGTCCCCAGATGGCCCCTGGCCATGACCCTGCACTTGTGTCAGTGAAAATGAGATGCTACATGGAAAAGCAGAAAAACTCGAGAGATCTTGGTAAGGCAGCGAGCCAGGCCCAGGGAGCCATCTAAGAGCTCCAAGCTGGCAGTGAATGAGGACGCTGCCTCCACCTGAGGAGCTCAGGCTTCCCAGGGACAAGGCTCGGCACCAGTCTGTTGGCCTAATTGATGTGCTTTTACCCTCTGGTTAGAAGCCAGAGAACGACCCGGAGGAACCTGGGGTACCAGCCACATCCCTGGAGAGCAGCAGTCAAGGCAGGAGAATTTAAGACCAGCACATGGGGCTGGGCAGCACAGCCGGCCCGTTTCCCACCGTAGTCTGTGCCGGAAGGCTCAGGCTAGTCCTGGAATGTGAAGAACATGGAGGGAGCAGATGCTGGCTGACAGGATGGTCCACAACCGGCCAATGGCCTTCTGCCAAGGACACCCTACTTCTCCCTTTCTACCCAGCATCCAGGCCAGGGTTGCAGAATCCCTCTAGAGTAGCAGTGCCCTGGAGGTGGGGCTTGACAGGCTAGAGACAAAGGAGCGGGGGAGGTCTTGGCCTGCCTGCCCTGCCCCCCCAATCAGCACCCACAGCCCCAGCTCTCCGAAATGTCCTTGCTGTCCAGCTGGATGTGGTCAGTACTCTTCTCACTGAACATGGGGCCTCCATGCCTCATGATGAGTTCAGTGGCCACTCTGGTGAAGGCCTCCTCCACATTGCTAGAGTCCTTGGCAGAGGTCTCGATGGCGCAGAGGATGTCATAGTGCTCGGCCAAGCTCTGTGCCTCAGTCAGAGGGACCTCCCGGAAATCAGCAAGGTCTGACTTGTTCCCTGTTGAGAAAGGCCAGATAGAGCATGGTAAGACCCACAGGTGCCAGACCAGCACAGATCTACCCAGCAGAGCCACATTAAGAGTCCCAGAGCATGTCCCCTCCACCAGCTCCAGGTAAACATTGCTGGGTGTGGTGACTGGCCCATATTAAAATAGTCCTTTGTTGGTGGTGGTGGATTTTTTTGTTTTTCGAGTCAGGGTTTATCTGTGTAACCCTGGCTGTCCTAGAACTCACACTGTAGTCCAGGCTGGCCTTGAACTCACAGAGATCCACCTGCCTCTGCCTCCTGAGTGCTGGGATTAAAGGTGTGTGCCACCACCTCCTGGCTTAAAATAGTCCTTTTTATTCTAACCTTTTTTAAAATAATGTTATGTGTATGGTGTTGTGCCTGTGTGTATATCTGTGAACCACATGTATAACTAGCAGCCACAAAGACCAGAAGATATCATATTCCCTGGAATTACAATTGGTTGTGAGCCAAAATGTAGGTGCTGGGAAAACTCAGGTCATTGGGAAATGCTCAAAACCAGAGTCATCTCTCCAACCCCTACTTTAATCCTTTTGTTTATTTGTTTGTTTGTTTTTTGGAAATAGGGTCTTACTTGTAGCTGTGGCTAGACTAGAATTTGGTATGTAGACCAGCCTGGTCTTGAACTCACAGAGATCTGCTTGCTTCTGCCTCCTGAATTCTGGGAATAAAGGCAAGCACTGCCACACCCAGCATATTTTAACCATTTTTAAAAACAGTTCTCAGCCAGGCAGCAGTACCACAAGGGGCAGTCGATCACTGAGTTCAAGACCAGACTGGTCTACAGAGTGAGTTCCAGGACATCCAGGGTTATACAGAGAAACCTTATCTCAAAAAGCAAAAAAATAAAAATAAAAATAAAAGAGTTCTCCCTAGGTTGCCAAGGCTAGACTTTCACTTGTTGACTAAAGCAATCGTCCTACCCCTCAGCCTCTTGAGAGCTGGGACAAGTGTAGCCACCAAGTCAGGCTTCCTTTCTTATTTTAAAGCTCTTATGCTCAGCTGGCAAGATGGTTCAGTGGGTGGAGATGCTTGCTGTTAAACTAGGTAACCTGAGTTCAATCCCCAGTACCTACATGGTGGAAGGAGAAAATAGACTCTGTAAGTAGTCCTTTGGCCTACACATGCGCTGTGGCATGTGTATACCCATATACATACACCAGACAGACAGGCAGAGAGACAGACAGACAGATTTTTTAAAATGTAAACTCTTATTCTAGGCCAGCAAGGTGGCTCAGCAGGTGAAGATACTTGTTGCCAAGTCCAATGATCTGAGTTCAGTTCCCAGGACCCACTTAGTGAAAGGAGAGAACTGACTCTAGCAGTTCGTCATCTGATCTCCACACATGCACTGCAGTGCATACATGTGAGCATGTGCTCACAGACACGCTAAGTAAATGTAATTTTAAAATACAAAAGAAAAATTCCTACTCTGTGGCCTCTCGTCTTGTTTTCTTTTTATTATCTTTTTGCCTCTGCAGTGCTGGGGATGAAACCCACAGTCTGGTGCATACTAGCTACATGCTCAGCCACTGAGCAGCGGACCAGCCACACTGAGCAGAAGCAGTGCTGTGTGCAGAAACGCCATGCCTTAGAGCTGGAGGGGCACACGGGCACTGCAGAGCAAACTCCAGCACCCTCTTGCCTTCTAATCTCAATTTTCAGTCCAACTTTTAAACTGACTGCAACCTCTGGTTTAACTTTTGGTTCCTTTCCTGGTCAAGCTCAGCCCCTCCCCGGCAGGCTTGCCCTGTACTGGAAAAGAAAAAGGCAAAGACAGAGAGATAAGACTCGTTCCCAGGCCCCGCCAGTCACCATCTCTAGCTCACCAATCAGCAGCTGCACAATGTTGGAGCCCGCGTACTTCCTCACGTCCTCGATCCAGTGAGGCACTGACAAGAAGGTGCTCCTCTTGGTGATGTCATATGCAAGGATGGCCCCATTGGCACTGCGGTAGTAGCTCTGGGTGATGGTTCGGAACCTCTCCTGGCCAGCCGTGTCCCAAATCTGCAGCTGAAGAAAGGGGTCAACCCAGTGACACACGTCAAAAGGACAAGAAGGGCAGCCCCAGAGCCCCATGCCCAGAACAGTGAGCCCACTGGCCAATGGTGGGTCACAGCAACAGTCCTCGGCAAGCCTTAGAGAGTAACTCAGGGCTGGAGAGATGGCTCAGAGGTTCAGAGTGATGGATGAACAATCCAGAGGACCAGAGTTTGGATCCAGCACTCACTTAACAAACCAGGCATCCTGTACACACCTGTAACCTCATGCTAAGTGGGGCAGAGACAAGAGTGCTGAAGCTTGCTGGCCTTTAGTCTAGCTAGGAAAACTCAAGCCCCGGGTTCAGGGAGAGACCTTGTCACTAAAAGAGCAGATGGGAAATAATAGCAGTGTGGTGATATTGTGTTCCCCAAAATATTGTACACCCTAATAAACTTATCTGGGGTCAGAGAACAGAACAGCCACTAGAGGCCAGAAAATGGTGGCACACACGCCTTTAATCCTAGCATTCCAGAGGCAGAAATCCATCTGGATCTCTGTGAGTTCAAGGCCACATTGGAAACAGCCAGGCACGGTGACTCACGCCTTTAATCCCAGGAAGTGATGGCAGGAAGCAGAAAGGTGATTTATTTATTGACCAATCAGCAACACACTTGACTTACAGACCATCCCACAGCAGACTGGCTCTCCCCTAACTAGGTTTAATGGTTGCGGACCACTAGAGTCTGCAGATGAGGAACTGACCCCAAGGTGCAATAAGGTCAGGCTGGCTACACATTGGGTCTTTTCTGCTGCACGCTCAGTGGGTCCAGGCTGTACAGTATTGAGTCTCCTAACGATTCCACAGTTGGTGGTGAGGAAGCCGGACTAGGGCAGTGGGTACCTGCTTATCTACCTTGGCCAAAGTATGGGGCCTAGGGTCTTTCTCCATCATTTAACAAATGGCAGTGCCCTAGGGTAGGTACCCCCGCTGGGCATGGGCAGTGGAGAGGTGGTATGTACATGTGATTATCCTTGCCAGGGATGATCAAAGAACAAATGGCCAAGAAATTTCTATATTTGATAAAAGATACTGATTTTAAAATGCAAGAAAATCAACAAATTCCAAACAGAAGAAACAGAATAAATTGTAGTAGATCATAGCCAAACTGACAAAAAAAGAAAAAACAAACAAACAAAGAAGCAATTAATTAAATCTTGGCTTCCAACAATGACATCATGAAATCTGCAGGAAAATGGATGGAACTAGAAAATATCATCCTGAGTGAGGTAACCCACACACAGAAGGACAAACATGGTATGTACCCACTCATAAGTGGATATTAGATATAAAGCAAAGGACAACCAGACTGCAACCCACAGATCCAGGGAGGCTACCCAGCAGGGGGGACCCTAGGATGAATGTGGCTTATAATAAGTTTCAATTTTGCCCAATCACTGGGCAAGCTTTACTGAAACATTTCACTATTAGGATAAGAATTTGTACTGTATCAAGCTGATGAAAGAAAACGCTGGCTGAACTTTCAGGAAGGGAGGCTAACATCTTTTTAGATTATGGATTAGCCTATAGAAAAATGTCTGCCATAAATCAAACAGTAAAGGGGAAGATGAATAGGAATCTCACTTACACAACTTAAGTAAAACATAGCTCTCTGAACAGATGAAGATAGGTTTCTTCCGTATCCCAGAATCTAATCAATATTTATATGTATAATTCAGCTATCATTTGGCTTAAAAGGGCTTATTAGGAAATGTTATTTTTACTACTTTCTACAGAGAAAATATTTTCCAGTTTCAAATAACCCTGGACTTTTTAACTAAAACCTGTTTTTATGTTTAAAAAAAAAAGTAAAAAAGTTTGGGAATTCCTAGAGTTATTCCCAAAGCTGTTTTTCTCTGTGTTTAGAAATAAAGGTCCCAGCCGGGCGGTGGTGGCGCACGCCTTTAATCCCAGCACTCGGGAGGCAGAGCCAGGCGGATCTCTGTGAGTTCGAGGCCAGCCTGGACTACCAAGTGAGTTCCAGGAAAGGCGCAAAGCTACACAGAGAAACCCTGTCTCGAAAAACGAAAAAAAAAAAAAAAAAAGAAATAAAGGTCCCTGTTTTATGTAAAATAAATAAATAAATAGTAAAAGTACTAGATAGATAGATAGATAGATAGATAGAAAGAAAGAAAGATAGATAGATAGAAAGACCGACAGATCGACCGACCGATCTAGGCTTCCTGAGCTACCAGAACATCGCACTAGCAAGGCTTCTGTCCTGGATGATCACTTCCTTTTTCATTCTAATGAACACTGGTCATCACCTCCAGAGTAGCCCCATCTACTCCCTCACCCCAGTTTATTTATTTATTTATTTACTTCAGCCATAACTGCCAATACCTACCACACCGACACCGGCCCCCACCACACTGATACCGGTCCCCACCACACTGACACCGGTCCTCACCACACTGACACTGGTCCTTACCACACTGACACCAGTCCCCACCACACTGACACCGGTCCTTACCACACTGACACCGGTCCTCACCACACTGACACTCGTCCTCACCACACTGACACCGGTCCTCACCACACTGACACTCGTCCTCACCACACTGACACAGGTCCTTACCACACCGACACCAGTCCCTACCACACCGACCCCGGTCCTTACCACACTGACACTCGTCCTCACCACACCGACACAGGTCCCTACCACACCGACACCGGTCCCCACCACACTGACACCAGTCCCCACCACACCGACACCGGTCCCTACCACACCGGTCCCCACCACACTGACACCAGTCCCCACCACACCGACACCGGTCCCTACCACTGCACTCACGGACAGACAGCCCAGTAGGGCTTGGCTCTGCACTCTCTCCTGGCACAAGCTGCTTCTCAATCCTTCCCAGCCAAGCCTTCTCAGCTTGCATTTGATGTTTAGGAGAAATTCTCCAGGTTCCTGATATCTAGAGTCGTGTCCATGAACAACTGTGGGGCTTAGAGCACTTCTGAGTCCCAGTGAGGACAAAATATGGGCTCCCAGAGCACACATGCAGAAAACACATTGCCCCTCCTCTGAGACTAAGCAGGGTCAGGCAGGGGAGTTCAGTCCCTTCTTTGACTCTGTAACAGGAAGACTGAGAATCACCATCCTCCGTGGGGGTGGGGCTCCTACTCCCTTTTAAGCTCCACACTTAATGACTCCAGCCTGTGCTGGCCCACAAGCCTGCACGAGCCCGTGATGAAGCAGTACTGTGTGCATCACCAGGCCCTTTCTCAGGACAGGCAGCACTACCTTTGAGCAGTTAGACTCTCCTACCCACCCTTTATCACTTTAGGTAGCTCTTCCTGATACCCGTTCTCCAGTCCCAGGTAGAAGTAACTCTTGTTCCCTTCGTGTTCCTGCCTCTCTAACAACTCATACCATAGAGGAGAGCACTGTATTTCACTCGGGCATCCTACATCACGATGACTGCAGGAGCTACGCAGGGAGCATGACATACAGCAACATACATACACACACACACACACACACACACACCACACACACACTCAGAAACAGGCTGCTGCAAGCTGCTTTCCAGGGATTCATACTTTACAGTCCCATGGAGTAAGTCACAGGCTGCAATAAATCAACCTTGTTTGTTAGGAAGTTCAGTTCCAAGACCTGTGTCCTGTCCTGTCCTGTCCCTCCCAATGGAAAAGGAGTCTGTCCTGAGTAAGCAGACAGTGGAAAGTTCCAGGCTTCTTTGCCTTAGAAGAAAACCTTGGAAAAGTAAGTTCTCAGGGTAAAAACTGAGATGGTCAGACTGACCCAAATACAAGTTCCTGAGCTATTTTTTATGATGTCTTGGGACATGAGTCAAACCAGGAGGTAGGGCTTGAGGGCTCCTCCTCCAACCAGCCTCCTTTGCGGTGCCATCCTCTAGGGAAGAGCTCAGCTGCAGGTTCTGCCATGCTGCGGAAGCTGCCATCGGGTATACTAACTGGTGATAGGCAGCGGTCACTCCACGGAAGAGCACCAGGTGGGCAGGTTCACTCTGCTGTCTGCCGTCCTTCTGCTCTCTGGCTAAGAGCTGTGAGCAGGTGATGAAAGTTTTCCACGGCTGGGGTCTCCCCCGACCCCCTTCCCATCCCCCTAGGCTGGAATGGCAGCCTTACATCTAAAGCTAGTGGCCTACTGCTCGGGGCTTTAGTAGTCAAAGGCTCATGTCTCCAGGTCCTGAGGTTGGAGGCTCACTGCTCTGGGTTTAAATCACCAGTGGCCACATGGCAGCTACTGTAACCCTCAGTCTCCCCCAGCTTGCATTACCCTCTGGAATGAACCTCAGTATCGGGAGCCTTAGCTCCTACAGCGGGTGATGTCTCAGCTGTCAGGCCAAATGTGTCGATGTGTCGAGGACCCCTGGACCTTAAGACTTGGCAGCTCAGGGCTGGAGAGATGGCTCAGAGGTAAGAGCACTGGCTGCTCTTCCAGAGGTCCTGAGTTCAATTCCCAGCAACCCCATGGTGGCTCACAACCATCTGTAATGAAATCCAGTGCCCTCTTCTGGCCTGCAAGCATACATGTAGGCAGAACACTGTATATGTAATAAATAAATACAATCTTATAAATCAATCAATCAATCAATAAACCTGGCAGCTCCTCAGAATTCTTCAAGCAACTGGAGCTATGAGTTTCCCATCTCTGGCTCTTCAAGGCCTCCTACCCTTCTTCACCTTTGGCTCTCTGGCCCCTCATTTGCATCTCTATTCCCATGTTTCTATCCTGGTCATTCTCAGGGACTCTTCAGCCACCCTCTTATCGCCACTGCTGCTGCTGCTGTCACTGCTACCACAGCTCAGCCCACTCTACTAATAGCAATGATCAAAAGTAGGCAAGAAAAGACCCTTCAGACCGAATGTCACAAGCCCAGGGCTCAGCACTGAGAGTGTCCTGTAGCCGAGTGTGAAAGTGAACTGACGGCCTTCTTAAACAGGCAGAAAGGTGTTGTTCCAGGGGTCTCGGCACCATCAT